AGCTTCTGGATTTAATCCAATTGAGTTGCCAGAGAGCCTTATTAAATTATTTATGGCCGAAGAAGAGCCAACGAAGAGCCTGCCTGCCTCGATGAAAAGGTTTATAGTTTTTATATTTGATGAGCCTTAAATTGAGTCGAGTTAGTGACACTTTGCTAGGACATTTGTTACATCTAAATTAATTTATGTGCATGGCAAATGCATCGAACTATTGCGGGGGTATTTCAGATTTGATACGTCCACACAAAACCTCGAGCCTGATTGCATTTCAATTATTTAGGAGCCCAGCCCGGAATTTTTTGCCAGCATTTCGCAAATGAATTTATCTATTTGTTTTCCGCACAATTGCCTAGCATTTTAAGCGACGTTTGATTGATAGGCGAGTGAAATCTGCACTGTGCACACACTTGATTTCATATTTAATTTAGGCTTTGCGCAAACAGAGAACTTTCGATTGGGCAATTTAATTAAAATGTTGTTTATGGCCGGCAAACTGCGAACCCCTTTCGCATCATCTCCCTTTGTCCGCTAAATTATGTGGAATTCTCAGCGGGTTCGCCATAGTTTGCCGAGCGGCGTTTATGTCCTTTCTATGCAAATGTCTCTGGCCAGAAGGAAAGAGAAATCAGCGTCATAAAACTGTACGCTGTCTTCCCTTTTGGCAAGGCAAATATGGCGACAGTACAGCAAGGAAAAGAAAAGAAAAGTGAGCCGGGAAATTCAATGGTCCTTGCCGGGTGGAAAACACATTGCGAGGGCCGCATATTTCACGTTACTTATCTTTATCATTGCCAACTAATTTCACAGCGAGCAGGAGGAAAAGGGCCAATAGACACACTTGGCCCGCTCCGAATGCGAAATATTTGTTTATTTCTAGTTCATATCTCTCATGTGCGCTACACTGGTTTCCCTTTCACCATTTTGTTCCCTGCTCTTGCGGCGTGTTTGCGCCATTTTGCGTTTTTGTTTATGTTTAGCCGGGTCATTGCGGCCATTCCTTATGGCACACAGTACATATGTGTGTGTGTGTGCCTTTGCGTGTGTGTTTGGGTGGGTGTGGGGTGCTCGCTTTAAGTGCTTTTATTGTCTTTTGCTTAGGGTTAAGTTTTGTCATTGCCACGCTTTGTTTATGGCCACCCCTGCCACTCGGCCCTGTTCGGATCCGGATCCTGTTTTTGCGGACACGCCACCCAGCTAATCCTTTTGTTTTATGGCGTTTAATTTATTTTTAAAGCCTTCTGCTCCCGCCGCACAACTTGTTTATAGGCCGCAAACAGACCGGCGGGCAACCAGAGGCAAAAAATATATTTGCTTAGCACACTTTTTTCCACACAATGAAAAACTGCCCTTAATTGTGTTATTTGCATATTTTAATTCAATTGGGTAGCTTAATAAATTCGATCCATTTGCAACTTCTGGCGAGGTCACTTTTTATCAAACAACCATTTACTAAATCATTTTAATTACAACTCAAAAGCGTATGATGAAGTAGATGCAGTTTTTACAACCAATTTAGGGTTTAGTCAAGTGGCACTCTAATTGAAATTAATTAATTTGACTTAAATGAGTTATCTAAATAATTGCGGGTACCCAATATTGTTCGCTGTGCATGTTTTTGCTGGCTGTTTGCTATATGAATACTGCATGCTCGCCCAGTTTTTTCCCCAGCAAAACATGCAACAGGCCATGTCCTGTCACAATAATTGGCTCCGGCTTACAAAACAAACGCAGAGCTGTTCAGAACTAAACGGATTTCATCGCAAAACAGGAGTCGAGGGCAGAACACGCTCAAGTAATTGGCTACAAAACTGCAACATAACAATAACAATTCAATGTGTCCGCAGCAGATGCTCGATCCTCCCACAAGAATCCCCACCCACCAGTGTTAGTTTTGGCCGGGTGCACTTGTAAGCCCGGCCTAATTGGCCCTCATTACATCAAAGAGTTTTGCGTGGGGAATGCTAAGCGCAAATAAGACTCATCTGTGTGTGTGGTAATGAGTTCGAATATGGCCACGCCCCGAACATCTGCTGATGGCCATCGAGGGCCACTGGCGATGGCCAAAAGTCGCTCAGCTTTCATCACACAGTAAGAAATAGAATTTAATATATCTCCCTGCAGAAATAAGGCTTCAAAACAATCAAAAATTAAATGCCTTTAGTCTTACATAAACCAAATCGATTAATAATTGCTTATTCATTTTAAAACAAAGAATGCATTAAATGTTGTATAAAATTCTCTTACGTTTATAGAATTGGAATTTTCCCCAGTGGCCATTCTATTCTATTTCTGTCTGAATTGGTCATCGGTTTCCCAATTGTGCTGCCTAGGTGATGGTTCTATTTTCCTACCTATATTAAATCGGGTTCGATTAATCGGAACCTGTTTCCTACAAGTATGTGTGCTTAGTATTCCCCTTGCGTTTGTGTGCGCGTGTAAGAAGTTGGCCAAATAATTGTTTTCCATTATGCGCACACAAAAGCGCAGGAGGCGACCTTGAGTTAATGGTTGAGATGTTAACTTAAAGTGCTTTTAGCCAGCAGTAAAAGTTTCGGTAATTGGGCATTCAGTAAGCGAGGGCTTTAAGAGGCTTTCGAGGCATTCATGATTTGATTTGATTGCCGAGTGAAGCATTAAACAAGGTTAAAATCAAACGGAATATTGTTTAATATTAATGAATGCTACCGAAGGCTCAGATTGAATCCTAATGTTAAAAATCGATGTTTTAGAAAAGGTAAAATGTGTTCATTCTCGTAACCAAAATTCAATTACAACTTGATTGCCGAATTACCAAGCCACTGGTGTTCCTACAATTTTCGAATCAATAAACTTGTGGCCTTGACTAAGTGAAAAACTCTCAATTGTGGTCAACTCCGAAGCAGTCGGATGAAGTGTTGCATGGATTACGGAGATCGAAGGCGGAGGTCGAGGGATGAGTTCGAGGTCTGAAGTTGGAGTGCGCTCCATGCACTCAAAACTAATGCCCTAATGAATGGCGATGGCTCTGAAAGGCTCTTCGTTCGGTACTTTCGACTCTCGCACACACAATGGCTATCGATTTCTGGCCGAGAGCGATAATAAAACCATTGGGAGGGCGCTTCAACAGGCCGCCTCGGCGATGTGATGTACGTGTCTGTCATTTCGAATTACAAGACGCGTCTAAATGTAAAGCGGGCCACGGGGCGTATGGGTAACGCCGTCGGAAATTGCTGTGCTTTGCATTCGCCCGGTGGCACCGCTCCGCCCAAACTGCCAAGTTGTAGCATAATTGTGCGTCGTTAAGTTTATTATGAAGTGCCATCGTGCATCGTACATCGTACATAAAGCGAAACACTCGCATGAATGGCGGAGCACTTTAAGTCAAGCAATTGGAAACTAAATTGGAATTTTTATGACAGGCATCGGGCGGAGGAGACGGGACTCCTCCTGTGGCATCCGCACGAGCCGACACTCAACACAATGGCTTACATGGCGTATGCGCATTGTGTGTGCCCATTTGACCGACAACAGCCAACGCACACACACCCGCACTCGCACACACACACACTCACTCGCATCCCCTCCTGCACATAAATACACTTATAATGCGTTTTGCATTTGTTAAATTTCCCCCAGGCCCCGTTTCTCCGGGTGTTTGGCTCTTTGCAAACACACACACACACACAAAATGCGTTGACATGGCCGAAATTCACGCCTCACTTGGCCTGCCTTTTGGCCATTGCTGCTCAGTGGTCCATTCACTGTGCAGAATGACTTAATGAATGCCCGAACGGCGATGTATGTATATTTAATGCCGAATGGAATTAGGGCCAGACAATGCTCCGGATTTGCATCGGTAAGTGGGATTTTTCCAAGGAGTTCTAGGCTGTAATTTACCACTTTGTTGTTTGATAATTGAGGATAAGATTGGTGGGCGAAGACTTAATCTTTAGTTAAAGGTTAGCGTATGGAGGCATTCCTTCGATTTAGTAAATTGTATATTCTCTCTTTTATTTCAATTTTCTAGCTTGTTGTATGACAATTAAATAAAAGTTGTACCTTTATTCTGATACTATATTTAACAAGGTTTTCCATTTTGTAAGGTTTTTAGGAGTGGCTTCCCCTAACTTCATTTCATTAGGCCACTCTATAAACCTGAATGAATGCCAGAACTTTTCTATGGCTTCGCCAAATCCCCGTGGAGGCTTGCATGCTGACTCGACTTTCCTATTTGGCCGCCTGCAGCGATCGCCACGCCCCTTTCCCACCGCCCATGAGTGGCTTTTCATATAACACATAATAACAATATATTTGAGGGTGTGTTTATGGTCGTATGCAGAAACTGTTGCCCGTTGTGGGCAACTTTTGTTGCCGTTCTGCTGCTGTTATTTGCCTCTTGGCCATTGGCACATTCACATTCACTCTTGGCCCAATCTGCTTTTGGTTTTAGTGTCTCAGTGTTTGTGTTTTGTGTGCGAGTCTGTGGCCAAGGAGCTTTGCTTGTTGGAATGCCAACCGCATAACCATCAAATTGCATTGCAGCTGCAAGCTCCCGCAATATTTAAGCCGAGTTCTGAACTGCTTAGTAGCGGAGCACTCTGTTGGGGGCGGTTCATTAAACCCCCTTTCGCAATTCGACAAAAATGAAATTAACAACAAATCAAACTTCCATTGAAAGGGAAAACTTTGTGTGGGGGAAGGGGGGGCGGGCGATTGTAAACTTAATTAGTAGGAGTTCCCCGAAGCCCTTCGTGTTGGCTTCCTTGTAGAGTGAAGGATGCAAAGGACAGCCATCAAGTGTCGCTCCGAGTGGGCCATCAACTTCATCTCCATCTTCGTCGTCATCGCTATTTTCATCGTCATTCCCGACACACAATTTGGTTTTATTAACTCGCCAGAAAGCCGAGTCAAGGAGCCGGGATTAAAATGAACTGCGCTGCTCCCCAGATGGCAAATTCTGAAATTGCTTTGCCACGCTCGAGACTTAAAAAAAAAGGAAAGAAAAGTCGTACTGCAAGTGCTTGGTTTTGTATTTTGCATAATTTTATTATGTTTTATTTGTTCAGTTTTCTCATGATGGTTTTTCTGTTTTTTGTGTTTTTGCTTGGTAATTTTCGTTACATTTAACTACACAGACTTACGGGCTAGAAATCATTTCTCTGCTGCACAAATCGATATTTACATACAATCATTAGAAGCTTAGTTCAATCGCTTTTGATTGAGCTCTCCTCTCACTAGTTAGTCGCCAATGCTTCGTGTTTGCACATTGCTAAGACAGTTAAAAGTTATGTCCACTAATTAAAAATTGCTAAATATCCTTATGTTAGACAATTAGTTTATTTTGATTACTCTGTTCGCTTCTGTTTTTGGTTTATCCTCTTTTGATTAACAACTTGTTGCCAAATGTTGCAATACCTTTAAACTTTGCCTTCCTCTCCTAAATTTGTTTGCAGATCTTGCAAATAACCGTTTGCCACTCTTAACCGTAGTAGTTTATTTATGTAATTTACTTTAACAAATAATTTATTTACAGCTTAATCTGAAAGTTCTTCGAAGGGCAATTTCTCGAGTAAAACCAAATTCCTTTAGCTAAATCCATTTAATTAGTTAAGTGGTTGTCTGTACAATGCAGCATAAATCAGGGTCAAATGATTGAGTGTTTGCGGCTGAAACTATAGATTCTTAACCGTAGACTGGGACTTGTAAAACTATGAATTCTAGGTTGGAAATGCACGTCAGTTCTTAATATTGAGCTCGCTAGCACATTCAGGATCCGAACTACGAAATAACTGGGTTTTCCTTCTGGGGATCCTTGAAGTGACACAAAATATTTGCCAGGCTCTCTGGGATTTCTTTGGGTGGTCTGCAAAGTCGACCTTTTTATAATACATGTGCGGCACAAGCTGCATCCTGTGGTTAAGTATGACACTTACACATTAACGAAACACACACACACACACATACATATAAAAGGGGAGTGTTGCCTGCTTTACATGCACACCTGCTATGTAGAGAAAGATTGGGTTCCTTAGTTGGATTCGCTCGTCTGATAGTTCTGGCTTAGGCGTTAGGTGTTAGGTGTAAGGTGTTTGGTAGTACGTATGTTAGCAAGTAGTGGAGAAGTAACTAATGTAAGACTAGGGAACCGGGCATCCAGCTTCGTCCTTCCGCGGCCCATGACGTAGTTACAAATGAATCCTTATGCGGCGCGGATGCAGGGACTTACACGATCTTCATATATACACTCGTGTGGAATATCCGATAGCCGCTGGCAATGATTATCATAATCATATGCAGCTGGGACTGCATTGTCTTCGTGGATCCGCCCACGTGGCCGTGATACATGGCTGCCGGATTGTCGCCTGCAGGAGAGAAATCCGGAGAATATGAGAATGAAATTTGCACAAAAATTTAATTAAAAAACACACAGCAAAAATACACACACCCGCAGACAGACCACACACACACCCACACACACACCCACACACACACAGACAGACATACGTGGCAAAAGTGTGAGCTTAACCAACAAAATGCTAATGAGCATCGTCGCTTCATCGCGCCAGAAACTTATAAATTATGACTGGCACTAACTACGTGGGCACTCTTTGTTTGTGTTAGCCTCTTTCTTCCTCTTTCTCTTTCACTCTCTCTCTCTCTCTCGCTCTTTCTTATAGTCACTTTTAGCCGTCTCTGTCGCACGGCGTGTTTATGGCCTGGCTTTAATGGCAGTTTGCCTGCCAAATGGCGGGCTCTGTGCACGGGCATTTTTAATCCACATGCTTGCGGCCGTGTAATTTTCATAAATTACTTTTATTGTTTTCCCTCTTAGCCAACAGAACCACGCGCCTGATATATGAACTGCAAAAGAGCTACCGGATACAGATACCGGATGCAGATACGTTTGCAAGTACAGCTGCCGAGATACAGATGTACGAAAATTACCGTTACCCAAATGAGCGGTCCTTTGTTTATTCAAAGTTTTAATTTCGTTCGGCGGACATAATTGAAATTTCGTTGGCACACAGCGCGCTTAACTCGATTGTGCAGATGGAGGAGAATGCTATTTTTTCATTCCTCACTTTATTAAATACATTGTTATGCTGTCCTTAGAGATGGTTATTAAATCAAAGGAGACTTGTTGTTTTTGTGGGAATTAAAGTTGATGGTATAAAGTAAAAACCAATTAAGGTAGCTGATATTATTCCATGAAATATTGCTCCTAGCAGCTAATTAAATTCCGCAGGAATATCAATGTATTTTCTTTGGTAAGACAATGAACATTTTGTGAATGTTGAACCACTTCAAATTTTAATTGCAGAATATATGTAATTAATAATTGATTTTTGTGCACTTCTCTTCGCAAACTTTATCCCAATACTGTGTGCAATTTTCACCCTGCCACTCACCCTTGAAGATGTGCACCAGGACGCTGGCTGGTTGCGTGTTGCTGGCGACGCAGGTGAAGTTCCCCGAGTGCTCGCGTCGAGTCCGCTGAATGGTAAGCTCCGATGATTGAAAGTCTGCAACGGACAGCATTCGATAAAGGGTTAAGCCCGGCGAAAGGAGGCCAACAAGGGGGCGACCTGCACTCACCTGGCTCCGTTGACACATTAATGCCCCGATCAATGTCGTAGTTAATCATGCGGTTGTCGTGATACCAGAATATATACTCGGAGGCCTCCGTATTCTGCACCACGCGGCATTGCAGCCGCAGCGTTGAGCCCGGCGTGAGGTATCGAATCGGAGGACCCGTGATCTCGGCGCGGGCTTCTAACCAATCAATGGGGGTTTTTGAAAAAAGAAAAAAAATTGCAATCGATAAGCGTTTTAGTCGCATACAACCAGGAATGATTTATATATCTGCAAAAACTAAAATCCCAAAACTAGTATCATACTTTGTTAAAAATAAATGCATATCCCTTTCAATGTCATAAAAGTTTCTACTTAAACACTATTTACAAATCCCATTAACCTACTATATTTAGATTTCCAGTTCAAAGGCTATCTGCCAGATTCCCCGGGGTCAAGTCGAGTCAAAGTCAAAGCCTTTATTATCATCTGACTAAATCGGTTAGCCTCCCTGACAGTTATCAATTTCGCTCAGAGCCGCCGAAAGTGCCCCACAAATTTATGAAATACATCTGGCAGGCGGCCCAGCTCCACTTTGCGCAAAGAGGAAAATGTGTAGCCGGCCTGTCACATCAGTTTCCATGTATGTGGCCCAAAGAGAGTGGCTTTGTTTTTCGGGTGGAGCGCCAAGACGCCAAAAGGGCAAGAGGGCAAGCGGCAGAAAAGGCCATTAGGCGCAGCACATTCAAAGTAAATTGTTTGTTAAATTCAGAATAATGTGCGTCAGTTAGCCAAGGACAGCGCGATGAGTTGAGAACTTGCTGAGTCGTTGCCATTTGGCCCGAAACATAGTTTGGAACTTGAGAACCCCGCTCGGGATCCAACCCGTTTCAGGCCCAACCGAACCGTACCCAAACCCTAAGAAGCCCATTCCACCTTTGGCATATGGACATTTCTAATTTCGGCTTGAGCGCATCCAGAACGTAACGAAAATGTGGCAAAAACTAACCGGGCTCTAAGCTGAGAATTCTGTAGACTTTTCACTGGCATTTGTTTACCCCGAAACAGAAAAGCCATCAAGGCGTGAAATTATAGAAAATCACCACTGGCCGAGACCGAGTCGCAAATAGAAATGGCAAGCAAGGCAATAGTCGGAAAATCGAAGCCGTAACCGAGGCAATTCCGGCCTCTACTTACCGACGACGCTCAGGTGCAGGAAAATCGAGGTGGGCGGATGGGTGGACACCTGGCACTCGTAGACGCCGGCGTCACGTAGCTGCACGAATTTGATTTGCAGTGTCCAATCCTGCAAGCAAAAAAGGAAAAGAGGCCACAGAAAAGATTAGAATTAAAGAGCATTGGGGGGCCATTGGACCGCCTCGAAGTCAATTTGCTGCTGCGCTTCTGCTGCGAAAATATTTTGCAATTTTCCGCACTGAATTTTTGTCACGTATTGGCTATTCGAGGCCGACCGCTGCAAAAGTTCACAATGCAGAAAATATTCAGCAGGAGGCATGGATTGGAGAGTGCACTGTTCAAAATTTATTACCAAAATAATATTAATAGCAATTCAGACTAATTTAAATTGGATTTTTTGAAAGATTAGTTTGCTTGTTGATATTTAAACAAATTTCTTTATAAATTTTATGAGTTAATGGAAAATATAATTTAAAATAATTATTAAGTTGTTTAATTTTTTTTTATTCCCCCAGTGTATGGGATATAATTTCGTATGCAAGTCTCCGCTCCGATGCAATCAGACGCTCCCCCACTCCCCGCCTCATTTCCCCCATCGGCAATGCAAATTTCTTGCGCAGGACTCACCTCGGAATGCTTCAAGTGCGTGGCGCTGAACCGCTCATCGCTGCTGTAGGTTGTTAAGCCGACCGTAAGCAGATGATAATCCTTTTTACGTATCCACGATACCTAAAATAGATGGATGTGTTAGGGAGGGTTCGGCTCAGATAGGGCGGCGCCATTAGCCAAATACAATGGGATTCGTTCGCTTCAAGGACTCCCTTTTTTTCGGCTCGAACATTTAACATATGCCGGTCCGAAGATGGGTCCGAGCTCCCTTTTCTGCCCCCCTGTCTTGTTCAAATGTTTGCCAATCCATCAGGACGGGACTAGGACGATGACAACGACTTGATGATGATGCAATTTTCAAAAAGGCACACAGATACAAAACGCTTGGGAAAAAAATCAAAAAGCAATTACGTGTAAGAATTACTACAGCAGCAACAGCAAGAGCAACAATAAACATAATAGCAGATTGATTGATCCTAGGTTCAAAGTTCAAATTGGCTACCTAACTGTAAATAGACAAACAAACAAACAAATGGGCGGGGCACATCCTCGCCCAAACGCCCCCTTAACAAATGGAGGGCGTGTGTCCGCCGCCTCGCCCTTTTCCTATTTTCCGCACTTTCCCTTTTCTGAGTGTGCTGGATGTGACTTTAGCTAATCTTAAATGACCATTAATCATTTCGTCATCTACTTTTTGCGCACTTTTTTCGGAGCTGATGATGTAGCCACGCAACCAAGCACTGAGAGAAAAATTATTAATATTTTAAAAGTGGGGAATTTTAGTAATTAATGTTGCAAAACAAGCCCAATATGCTTTGATCAAAAACGTTTGGTAAAACCTATGATAGTGCAGTTTAAATAAATTAGAATTTAGGAACTCTTGTTTGTTAAATCTAAAAACGAATCTTTCTAATTTTTCCTGTGTGCAACTTGAGGAAAACACATCTATTAGCTGTCCATATGGGGTTATTGCCTGACGAAGATGATGATTTTGGTGCTCCTGCTGGCGCTGCAAAGGATCAGACCCGAGCACCTAAGCGCGTGTATCAATCAATTTTCAATTGATAAGGATTTTATTTATTGGCCAACAAAAAATAACGAATAACGAAGTAAAAGGCAAGAGCGAGCAGTTACTTTCAACTTTCTTGCCTGGGTTTTCCACCCAAATATTGACACACGCGCGCTGCAAACTCAAACTCAAACTGAAACTGCCACAAATACGAAATACGAACAACGAAATACGAAAAGGAAACAAACACTGGCAGGAAAACAAGCAACTTGAAATTAAGTTGAACGTCGGAGAAATTGTTAAATCAGCTGCGTTTGCCAATAAAAACGAATTACATTCCCGTGCTTAAATGTTTAATGCGGCGTATACGCAATGTGGCGCAGCAGCAGCATCAGCAGCAGCAGCAGCAGCAGCAGCAGCAGCAAAAGCATCCGAAGAGGAGAGGAAAATGGCACAAATCGAGGGATTTCCTCCTAAATATCATAATCCGAGTCGAGAGTCCCAGCGAACTTTCAGCTGAGGGAATACATAATATTCCTGCACTTTTGCCCGGCTGTCCAAGCGAAGAGAAAACAATATTTCAATGTAGGGGAAATTTGCAATTGAATGGCAAGCAGTCGTTTATTATCAAGATTTTCGCCCGGCATATGCTGGCAAAATCTTGCCATATATCTATTCAATACAATCTGTAACAGTAAAATCCGAGTGTGAGGCATAAATTGCGCATAAATTCCGTTTTGGCCCGCAGCTCCTAGACGACGCCAACCGACGACACACATCGCTATATATACTCGCTCATACATATATATACTTTTTTAGGATTCTTACGATATTTATGATGGCAAAGGGGACTGCGACTGCGAGTGCTACGTGTCTGCAAATAAACCATGCAGCTAGCCAGAAGAAGCCGAAGAAAAACACACTGAGGGAAAGCGGAAAGCCCGGGGAGCGAAAAAGGGTGCCAAGTGAAGCCATCAGGGGGAGTAAAATGTGGCGGCAATTAATCAAAAGCCTGCGAATTCCTTTCCCTTTTGGCAGGACTTTTTGTGTGACTGCATGTGCGAGGCTGTGAGTGTGTGCGTATCGCATAAATCTCAGTCGCCTGTCCTGCGAACGCATGTGTGTGTGTGTGTGTGTGTGTGCGTAAGTGTGTTAGTGAGTGCGAGCTGGCATCTCATGCGAATCCTGCGCGTCCTGCGGATCCTGCGGCTGCAGCTGCGGGCACGCAGATAATTGTTTACATTTTACCTTTTTTTCAGCTGTATGCAAAATAAAAAGTGACGCTTAATTTATGGCCAAAAGCTACAGCGCACACACCACAAATCACTTGTTAGCAAATTTATGGCAAATTTATGCTAACTACTTGTCTGCCACGTTGTACCGCCAACAGTTCCCCAAAGGTAGGCCCTCCACGGTACAGTCATGGGCAAGACAAAAGTGCTCTGAAAAATCCACTTTGCTTCTTTCTTATTATTGATGATTCAAAAACGGTCTACTTATATTTTGGTTTCAGAAAATAACCAACTGATTTAATAATTTTTAAGAGCTCGGAAACAGCTCATATTTTTTGTACCTCCTCTGTATATTTGGTTAGCCAATGTAAAATGTACTTATCACGGGATCTCGATCTCTGACAGCTGGCCCCATGTGCTCGATTTCTGGCCGATTGGCCGGGGGTGTTGGCTGGCTTTGCGATGAGTCGGGGCGATTGGTAATTGCATGGCTTGGTGGCTAAATCTATGCACAAGCCGATTGCATTGAAGTTTATATTTACTTTACTTTTTGCCCCTCCCCGCCCGACTTGGCCCGCTGAAAAGTTTTGATTGGCTTTTGTTCTGCTCGATGTTGCATGTTGCTGCTGTATTGCTGTACTGCTGTACTGCTGTGTTGGCCGTGTTTTGCCGATTTTGTTGCCTGCTATTGACGCACATTTTGTGTGCTTTACGTTCCGTTGTCCGACCAATTTCCGCTCTGCCACAATCCCAGCGGGCAACTAGCTGGTAAAAAAGCAGCCACAACTTTTTCAATGTGAAAAAGTTTTTAACAAGCGATTTTAATAAAATTCTATTTAGAAACTGCAGCGGCAACAGCAGCCATTTTGGTTGCACTTTGTCCCCCTTCCTTCCAACGAATGAATGTCTGTGTTTATTTTCATATGCGGCTGCAGTTTGGCACTCGGCTCCAAAAGGGGGGAAGCATTTGCTGGCTGGGAGGGGAAAGGGATGGTCCCGGGAAATCAGCTTTACATTTTATAAAATTTGATTGCACATGCAGGAAAATAGCACTAAAAAAATACCTGTAATTTGGAAGCTTTCAAAACTGTTACACTGAGTATATTTTCATTAAAATAATATTCTTGTGGTGTTTCTATTTGTATTAAATTTATTTTAAAAATTTGTTTGTTTTCTTTGTAAAGAGTATTATATTCTCAAAACATGTTAATTAAAATTCACATCTAAAAAAAGTATGTTCATATTGAGTTTATCAATTTATAAACTGTTTTGGTAACTTGGTCATTAGTTCAACGGAGTACGGAAGTTTCACAACACAACTTTAAAAACTTTAATTTTATCATAACAAGTTTGGGCCACCCTTAAAATTGTAGGGTGAAAGCCAAAAACTTTTTGCCAGAAAACGCGCTCCATTCAGTGTCGTGCTGTTTGCCTCACTAGTTCGCTGAAAATTTTATCCAAGAGTAAATATTTGAGTTGACAACTTTATTGTTCTGCCTGCAACTAAATTCACTTTTCCCTGCTCAAATCGGTGTGTGCTTTTGCCCCTCCAAGCGGCAACCATACATACGAAATTGAGGGCAATCGAAACTCAAATCAAGTTCAATTCAGCGGAAATGCATATTAAGTGCAATTACTGCATAATTAACCAGTCACTCTGAAACACTAATTGCAACCCACACTGAGTTGAAAAGGTGCGAGTACTTAGAGCAAAGGAAATCAATTGGAAGGCGATTGCAAAGGTATTAGGTGATGAAGGGCACTTTGCCCTAAGGCGATAGACTGATTATTAGCAGACAGTTTTGGTCTTGACCGATTACTCATACTCATCCGTTTGTTTAATAAACACAAACAAAGAGCCCTCGGGCGAATTACTGACCCAACCCTATGCTAATATTTTCCACCAATATTTTCAACATTCACGCGGCCTTGGGCTTGTGCTCACCACACAATCAGCCATTGCTTTTGATAAGAGCCACAGGCAAACAAAGAAGAATAAGCAGCGATGGAAATTACCATAGCCTACTTTTCAGCAGCTGTCAGCGGCTCTCCTGCGTGAAATGCGATTGTTTGCCCGGCATTCCCATTCACACTTAATGGCTGGCATTATATTCGGGACCCGGCCATTGATGATTGCATTGCAATTAAAATAATTAAGATTTCCGAGGCATGGTGGAAAAGGGGGCCAAAAGGTTGCCGCGGCAGTGAACTCTGACCTCCGCACACTCGACTGTGTGTTGTGCCGCTTAATTGTTTTGGGTTGGGGTCGCTCCACTCTCACCGGCTTTGTCCCCAGCCCAGAAAAGTTTATAGAAATGATGGAGCCATTCTGCATGCTCGCAAGATGCCAGCTCAAACAAAAAATCTGGGTCAAATTTAGCCCTTTGTTCGGGACATTTGTTTTAATAAACATTGTGACAGGCACCAGAGGCAGGATTACACAGAGAACATTTAATGACAGTAGCCTAAATAGAAAATATAAAATGATGTAAGAATTACTACCAAAACAAATATGTTATTTAATTTCTTGGTTGTTGGTTAAAACCCATCCCCCTTGATATTTTACCCTAGATATTTTCAGATATTTTTCGTAGTGCACTAAGAGCAGGATCAACATCCAGAAAGGACCCTCCAAGAGCCGTGGCCTCCTTCATCAAGCTGTCGACCAGAATGTCTTATTAGCTGGCAAACAACTCTACGACCATTGTCCTGCCGGTCCTGCCAGTCCTGCTGGTCCTGCCCCCTTGACTCAAGTTGAGTTGGTTTAATTACGGTTAAGGCTGCCAGCAACAAAGTGATAATGATTTGTATTCATTCAAAAAGGTTTATGGCAATTTTCGAGCCACATTAACTTCTCGGACCGGCGCCCCCAAAGTGCC